TGGGTGCCATAGGTGTAGTTCTCGGCGCTGACACCGAGCAGCGTGATGGCCGACATGAAGCTGGCCAGGAGGGAGAAGGAGACAGGTAGTGCGCCCATACTGCGGTCAGCCAGCAGGTACTCCTGGGGAATACAGGGGGAGGAATGATCAGAGATGGCAGAGACAACTTAAAACTGATCAGGGGTGGCACTTACCATCAGCTGCCAGTGCCAACAGAAATATGTTGACAGAAATACACAGAGCAGATATATACTGAACTGAAATAGACAAGGCGCCATAAAAAGCAAGATACAAGCGAAATAAAACAACATAAGCAATAAAACACACACAACTTTTTCTCAATAATTCCTTACCTACAGATTAAAAAAAAAACAACTTAATCTCATTTCCAAACAGACAAATCATTTCTACACAAATCACTCCATGTATCCAGTCCTTCAGCCACCTGTAATGAGGCCTTACTCACCGCCTGGCTGCGCTGCCGGCCGCCGGTGCAGGCAAAGTAGACGCCGATGAGGGCAGAGATGGAGAGCATCATGCCGCAGACCACATAGTCGGCGGCCGTGAAGAGAGACATGGTGCTGGGCCGTTACCGCCAATGCCCCTGGAAAGTGGCAACAAGGATTTATGGTGAGGGTTCTGAGGGTCAGTGAGATCAATAAGAGTCAGAGAAGGTCTATGGTGTCAATAAGGGTTAGCAAATTCAGTAGAGTGTGAGGTTGATACAGGTTTCAGAGTGAGGGTAATAAGTAATAACTGGTCTGTGAGGCCAATTCTGGTTTAGCATGAGGGCAATAAGGGTCAGTGAGGTCATAAAGGGTTAGTGACATCAAACAGGAACAGTGAGGGCAATAAGGGTCTGTGAGAGTGAGGCCAGTAAGGGTTGGTTAAGGTCAATAAGGGTCAGTGATCAGTATCAGGATCAGTCACATCAGGGAAAATGGTCAATGGACAGTCAAAGTTTTGAAAGTTATAAGCCTGGATTTGATTCAATCAGGGTTGACTCACATCCTGATCCCTGGACCCTGTGTGTAAAATATGTCTAGATTTTAATGTCATTATGGTACCACAGTCCCTGCAAAAATGTAAGGATGAGGAGCCTGGTGTTAGGCATCTTAATTCTCAAGTGACTCGTAAATTTGTCCTTTTATCACTTAATTATTTTTCACAAGGAAAACAAACATTAAATTGAAGCATTGAATTTTGGCTTCAGGTAGATGTGGTGGCTGTCCTATTTATTAAAGGCAATACATTGGTATTAAAATGGTTACAAAATGCACTCCAACTAGGCCAAAATAAACTTGATCCGCAAAACTTTAAAATCACGGTATCTACCACAATTCCTAACATACCTTGGCCTCAGGTTCACTCTGCACCACAACCCCTGCTTCCTATTAGCCTGTAATAAAATTTGTCGACTCCCACCAGCACAAGCAGCCCACGCGAAATAAAGGCGAGAAATGAACCTGAATGACCTGAATCATCCCCTAGCGCTCAAGCTAGCGCTTCGCTGCCTTTCATAAATGCTTTAGGGCATGTGTTCATATTTCCCGTCCACTGCTCATGCGCTGATTGTTTTGTTGAACATTTGAGATGCCCATTTTAAGTCAAAAACTTTGAAATGAATATTTCTCATTATTTGCATTCATTTTACATCAATTTAGTTAAAATTCGTATTTTGGTTCATTCAGAACTAGATAAATAAAAAAACCAACACATAGAATCAAAAACCTCTATTGCAAATAAATAAAACAACTATAAAAAATGTGTGAGGGCCGTGAAATTTACTGGCATCTCTTGTTTTCAGAGTGTCTGCGTTGACATCTTTTGCATAAAGCGAACACAATCAGGAAAGAGGCTGCCCGCATCTATTTTGGCCCGTATGAAACGACAAACAGCGCCTTTGGAGTTTGGACGGTTTGGACGACGCCTTGATTGCTTTTGCTGCTTCATTTCCTGAAATATTGTGGTTTATAGGGTCTTTCCGTTAGCAAACTAATTACAAATCACTGCAGAGTCTTGATTCTGCGTCCCCTACTGTCACGTCGATGCGTTATCGCGATTTCCATATCATAATGGGATATTTTCATGTGCGCCGTTGCAGTTTCCTTGCTGCCGTGCCTGCCGTGCTATTGCTTTCTTCGCGCGTTGCAGTCTAATGTCTAGCTGTTATAGAAATAGGACAAATTCGTGTGCGTTATCTTATTGCGGTTTTCTTACTGTGGTGATATTTATGTGTCATGATGTTTCCAGTGTTCATCCCATGTTGGCCAAGTGGTTTGCTATTGCCTAATGCCTCGTGCGCCAGTGTGCATGAGTTCCCGGCCAGCGCGGCGGCCCGGTCCTATATCAGTAGGTACCTATAGGTTTAAGTTTCTAAAAAGCCCACCTGCTGTAACCAATGTGCCAATCCATGATTTCCCTACTATCGTGTCTTGTTGATGTTGTGCAGAGTGCACAACGTTTTATAGTTTCTTTGCTGAGTTCACTTCGACCATTGCGATTGCGGGAGTCACCTCCACCATATTTTATATCGACTTTCAGGTCAGGCTGACACAGGACCATCTCAGCGACTGTCCGGAGATGAATTAGCGCATTAGAGAGCACCTAGCTCCACGACCGTTTAACTACTTAACCCGCGCGGGGCTGGGGTCTCCAGCCGAACGCGCGGGGCTGGGGGGGGGGGTAAATTTTACCCCCCTGTTATCTCCCGAACTAATGGTCCGATTTGGAAAATTCAAACGCCAATCGAAAGCTCTCATCACGAAATACTAAAAACATGTACTTAATTTAAAGTTTGAGGTCAAGGTCAAGGTCAGGTCAAGGGTACAAATTGCAAGTTTCTACAGTATCGGCCTTGCACCGTAGTTGCCGAAGAATGGAGTCATGGACTGAGACTGATCGCCCAAAACGTGTTCTAAGGCTACCAAGACAATATTCGTTGCATACAATATCATTCAGAGGTCAAGGTCAAGGTCAGGTCAGGTCAGGTCAGGTCACCAAAAAACAAAATATATAAAAGGGCATGTGCGACACATGTTTTATGGGTCATTTTACTCATAGAATTCAATAGGCACACTCAATAAGTGATATGGACCACCTCTGGATGAATTTCAGGTCGAGGTCAGGTCAAGGTCAGGTCAAGTGAGGTCAAATTTTGAAGTTGGTTGTTAACCCGCGCCCCGTAGGGCTACCGGCGGACCCTACCACCCGTAGGGATTTTCAAAATTCAAACGGCGTTCGATAGCCCCACCCGGGAACTACCTTGTGACCAAATTTCATTGACCTAGGTCAAACCGATGACGTCACAGGTCAGGTCAAAGGTCAGATTTTCACCGTTCACAGGCAACTCAAGAAATGTGCTGTGAAAGCAAGTAAATTGGTAATTTATTGAAAACCATCGATGGTATATTGTTCGTCAAACACATACCTTGCTATCTGAGGTCACTGATACCAGGTCAGGTCACAGCGAGGTCAGGTCACCGGGGTCACAATATGAATGTGTCGTGTGATACATGTTTTATGGTCCATTTTACATGACAAATGCGATTATGTGGGTTAGGCAGCCTTTGGGGCCAGCCTAGGTCACGTTTTTGTGAAGGTCAGGTCAAGGTCAGGTCAAATTAGGTCAAATTTCAAAGTTGATATTTTTGCATAAAATGGGTATCGATTCGATGCAGCTCGTCACGGGGAGTCTAATGGTGGTCTTCGTTTTTCTCTACGAGTTCTAGAATTGCCAAAAATTGAGTTTGAAAATTTGACGTCATCATTTTTGAACAGTTTTTTCGCTATAACTTGGCCAAAAAACGAGGTATCGATCTGAAATTTGGTATGTAGATAGAAGACGGTAGGCACTATCACATATATTCCGGTTTTTTTCGAAATTCAAAAAACTTTTTGGATTTTTTGACGAATATATCCAAAAAAATGCTTTTTTGATTTTTGGGGGTCAAAACTCAAAAATTTCAAAAATTCGAGATAGCAGTTTTGTAGCCCTGTCAATTCTACACCTTTTATGTCTTGATCATTTTTCTGTATCTTCAAAGCTGTAGTCCTGACAGGTCTTCTCGCGAAGGTCTTTTTTCGGTCGAAAATGACAGAACATGACGTCACTCTGACGTCATTTGTGGCCAACCTATCATAGCCTCTGGAAAAATTTTTGGTCACAATGTGTAAAATTGATGCCCGGAGGGGTTCTGAAAGTTTGGTGGCGATATCTCCAGCCGTTTAGGAGATATCGACCGAAAAGGACAGGGGGGGGCCGTTTCGGCCCCCCCCTACGGGGCGCGGGTTAAGGCCTAAAAAGGTGTCTATCTGATGCAGTTTTTCACGGCGAATCGAATGGTGCTATTTTTGTTTCCGTACGAGGTCTAGAACTTCCAAAAAAGTCATTTTTCAAAAATTTTGTGTGTCGTGACGTCATAAAATTTTGAATAACTCCCACATTTTTGAACTGATTCTTCTAAAATTTGGTATGTAGGTGCACATAGACCACTTCTCTGACATATATTCCGTTTTTTTTGATAGACTCAAAATTTTGGATTTTATAATGATTTTCCCAAAAAAGTCAGTTTTTTGAAAAAATTTAGGCCAAAATCCAAAATTTTCAAAAAACCGAGATAGCCATTTGATAGACAAAGTAAAATTACGTATAAACTTTTTTGTTACGTCTTGATTCCTTTAAAAATGAAGATGTTAGCGGCGTTTGAACTTTTGCCGTTTTTGAGGCGAAAATGGCGAACATGACGTCACTAAAACATCAATTTCTCAAAAAATTTCCGACGGATTTCGCTCAAATTTTCAGGGAACGTGTCAAATTGATGTAGGAAAAGGTACTGAAAGTTTGGCGGCGCTGCGCGCCGCCGTTTTTGAGATATCGCAAAAATTCGCGAGGGGGGGGTAAAATTTACCCCCCCCCCAGCCCCGCGCGGGTTAAGTCGAAATCAGCTTATCTTCGCCGACTCATCCAGGAATGCCGTCTCACCAAAACAACACTCATGTAAGATAATATCTTATCAGCTGTATTGAACGGCAGCTCAGCGTTCAGAACATAAATAGACACAATACAAAAAATCACTATCAATAATGCCACTGGTATTGAGGTCAACTAACAGTGTGTCTCTCTCACAGAACAGAGGAGCAGCCCGTTCGACGGTCACGCTCACGCTCGCACACAAACAAGGGCGTGCATTTAAGCGGTGCGAGGCGGCTGGTCCGACACGCGCGGGGCGCGGACGGAGCAGCGCCTGGCCGATGGGCTTGAATAACCACGTCCTACTCTTCACACACTGCCGCTCACCGCAGTCAGGCCACACAATCACAGAACTGAGGCCCGACCGACGTCCGTCACTCACACAGAACGGTTTATAGACTACGGGAGACCGTCTACAATTTGAAACAAACAGGGAGATTCGTTGTCGGTCTAAATACTGACAAAGACAATACGAACGCGCATAAACTGGTAAATGGGTTATCTCCCGAATATAAAAAACTAACAGCACACCGATTTCCCAAGCAAGACTCTCAGCTCACACGCTTTGGTGATATTCACAAAAGTGATCGGGTAAAAATAATGCCATCGATTCACAAGGTTGTCCCAAATTATGCTAAAATGCCCATCGCAACCGATGGATTTGCGGGAATGATTTATATTGGCTTCAATCTGGCAGAATTGGCGGTGAGCGCCAGATTGGGAGCCACGCGGTATACTTCAGTCTGCGAGAACAGCAGGACTGGAGACCGCCATGCCGGCTGTTGTACTGGAAGCTGGCACGTTGGCTGGTGGCTGAGCCACTGTCGAATACCCTGGGGAAGTGCCCCAGGCCGGCAGGGTGGCGACTCAGGCGCGGTGCGCCGAGTAGCCCGTGTCGTACAGCTGCGCCAGGCTGCTGGCCGTGTTGTCCTGGTAGGTTTCCTCGAGCTTGGAGCGCCGCCGGCGCTGGCAGCCGTACATCCAGGCGGCAATAATGGCCAGCTGAGCCAGCAGGAAGAGCGCGCTGCCCACCACCAGGCCCATGGTGTTGACGCAGAACCCGTCGGCGGCCGCCTCCACCCGCGGACCGTCCAGGCTCGGACGCTCCTCGGCCGCCGTCCGCCGGCGCGCTGCGTACTTGTCGTCGATGCGGATCGTCTGCACGACGAGCAGCTCCTCCTCGGAGGCGTCGCGCCGCACGCGGTCCAGACTGCGCCGGCGCCGGCCGTAGCTCTCCGTCTTGCCCAGCGTGCCGGCGTAGTCGCGCGTCTCGCAGATGGCCGGCTCACAGCGGGGCAGGCACGGCGTGACCATGGCGCGGAACTGGACCACGTCCGAGGTGGGGAACTTGAAGGCGTCGAAGGCGGAGGCCAGGTCCTTGGTGCCGTTGACGCGCAGCAGCGCCTGCAGGATGCTCTCGTCGGTCGGACAGCCGTTGGCGTCGATCAGCAGAATCTCGTTGCTATTGGAGCCGTCCATGGCGACCAGGTCGCGGACAAAGATCTCGTAGGGCGACATCGGGTCCATGATCTGGAAGCGGAGGCTGAGCGGGTCGCCGACAGAGGCCGCCTGCAGCTCGCTGCCGTTGGGGTCCGTGATGCTCATCAGCACATTCGGCGAGTCGACGACGGCCTCCTCCTCCAGCACCGGCTGGATGTCGCCCTTGACCTCCAGGTTGACGTCGTTGCTGACCGTCTTGTTGCTGAGGTCGTAGCGGCAGTGGACGCTGAGACCCAGGTCGGCAGAGGTGACGATGCGGTCGTGGTGCTGCAGCACGACGTCGTTCTGGTACTGTCCGGCCGAGACCCTCTTCACGCCGCACTCGAGGTCGGTGTAGCTCATCGACAGCTCGAACTGCAGACTGCCGTCCACGTCCGTCACACACGTGTTGGGGTTGCCCTTGGCGTAGATCTTGCCGTTGAACATCTTGCTGGTCTGGATGCGCGCCACCATGTTTCCGGCGCGGCAGTCGATGGTGACGTTGTAGCACGAGCTCAGCTCGTAGCTGGTCGAGCCGGGGATCTCCAGGTACGGCTCCTGGATGTGGGTGAGCGTCGAGGCGGCGTGGTGGCTCAGCCGGCACACCTGGTCCCCGGTATCGTTGTAGTCGTACGTGTGGCAGCGGAAACTGGCCGACAGACAGAGCTCACGGCACGCTTCAATTGACTCCACCTCCTGGTGCACCGAGTCGACCGTCTTCAGGATGCGCCCGTCGATCTTCTGGAACTCGCAGAGCTTCACGGGCTCCTCGATGCAGTTGTTCTCGAGGTAGTCGGTGCCCTCGGCAGGTCGGAACACGCCCATGCCGGCGGTCGTGTGCCGGTCCATGTCGGATAGGGAGCAGGTGCCGTCCGCTGCCGTGAACGCAGCCGACCTGGGGAAGGGCAGAGAGGGCGCCGTCAGACACTGGGGCGGTGACGCAGAGAGGGCGCTGTGAGACACGGAGCGGGTAGGCTGCTACCCGCCAGCCTCTCTTCCCGGCCCGGGGAGGAGGGAGAGGCTCCAAAGCACGATACATACTTTACACTTTAGCAAGATAGGTACCACTGACACCCTTGCCGGAAGTATGCCGCTTGAATACTTTTTCTCCTATACTCTCAACAATGGTGTACTGTTATCACTTCCATAGACACACCGTCATTAGCAAAATATGGGACACCATCATACAATTAACACCACAATAGCTCCCCAACAAATGAAGTTACGAGCACCCCTGCCATGGACAACACCTCGCGGGTCAACTTTAACGACGCCATCACGCCGTAATGTAAAGCTTGGTCGGCTGCGCGTGCCTAACAATTTCCGCATCGCGGGCGACAATGGCTCGTAAATTACCGTTCGGACGATGAGCCGGGGTCAACGACAGGCACCGGGTGACCCGTCGACCGTGTGGAGCGGGAGGGATGACCCGTCCAAACCGGTCACATAAGAGTTAGGAACACTCCGTGTTCAGAAGCCTGACGACCGCTCAGAAGTCTGACTCAGCTCTTTCGTATTCGTCTTGCATTCTCGTTGTTTTGTTGATTTATCAATGTGACACACCGTGCATAAGTCGCGCAGTGGGAGGAGCCCGTCCCGCCACCGCACGCGCCCGGGGTGCTGTTTTTGGGTACTGGCTCGGCAGTGACCGTTATGACCCGGCGGTCGGCGTGACAGGGTGGTCAGGCAGCGTCACATCTCGGCCGAGGCGTCACGCGGCGTGACGTTACGTGTCGCGGCCGGCTCGGGGCGGCCGTGGCACCCACAGACTGCCCAGGTTGTGGTCTGATTCCCCACCGTCAGTCACGGAGAGCGGTCGGTCGGACAGCTGGGCCGAGCCGCACACAGCTGCCGCTCGGCCCGTCCACGCCGAGCTGCGGTCATCCACCTGTTCGTCTCGTCCGACTCTCCAGCCTTACAGCGGGGTGGGGCTGGCGGGCCGTTACCACGGGTGAGAGTCTTCCTATACTGCGGCTATCGAGTCGCCTTTTACTGAGGCTCTAACGAGGGTCAGCCATTCACCGTTAGACGGTACCGATAGACATGTGTTCTGGGCGTGTCTTCTCGCTCAGGACATGGTCCCTCTCCCCGCTGGGACCCGGTCCCGCTCCCCGCTTGGACCCGGTCCAGTTAACTGTTCGGACATGGTCCCCATTTCGTCCCGGTCCAGTGAGGTCTCGGTCCCGGTAGCCCGGTCCCGAAAAGGGCGGGACGGCGGTTACTGGCAGTCTCCGACCTTCGTCACTGGTCGGTTAGTGCCCTACACTGCAATGCAGTCTCCACACTGCGGTCGCCGCGGTAGGCTGGTTAGAGCCCTATGCGGCATTGTAGTCTCCCCACTGCACCGGCTGATTAGAGCCCTATGCGGCATTTCAGTCTCTTCACTGCACCAGCTGGTTAGAGCCTTATGCCGCATTGCAGTCTCCACATAGAAGTATCATACCGGGTGGTTAGTGCCCTATACCGCACTGCAGTCTCCCCGGCAGGCTAGTTAGTGTCATATGCCGCACTGCAGTCTCCGCGGTAGGCCAGTTAGAGGCCTATGCCACACTGCAGTCTCCGCAGTAGGCCAGTTAGTGCCCTATGCGACGTTGCGGTCTCCGCTCCGGGTGGTCAGAAGTACCCTATGTGACGCTGCAGTCTCCCTAATGGCTGGTTAGGGTCCTATACCGCTCTGAAGTCTCTCTACTGGCTTCCTGGTTAGGGCCTTATGTGACGTTGCAGTCCTTGCGTCAATCGGGCTAGCGCCCTATGCCTCGTTGGAGTCTCCACCAAACAGGTAGTCCCCACCGCCGGTCGGTTAGCGTCGTATATCCGGCAGCAGCCGACATGACTCGAGGAGCCACTGTAGTGTACACTCAGCGGAGTCATCGCGACAATGGTGACTCTGACTGTCACACAAAAGTGCATTCTTCTCCTACAATGTAGTGGGGATGACCAGAGTAACCACAGACTCTGCAAGTAACTTGAGGTCAGCGCACTTGTTTTCTTCGTCCAACGGTGACTGTCATGTTTATCCTACTCGACCAAACAAGAGATTCCTTCTATCTTCAACTTCCCCGCGTACTGAGGGCGTAGTTAAACAGATAGACGGAGCTCTCACACGACCTCCCAAAATAGACAGGCCTGTCCGACGCAGATTTAGCGCGGCTTCGGACCACTCCCACGGAACTGGACAGCCAGGTTCTGTGCTGGTGGTCGGAGCTGAGGCACTGGCCGGCCGGTCGGTGACCCTCAGTGACCCGAGCGGACTGATGACGTCACAGTGAAGTGACTGATGACGATAGGACGCCCACCACCGCGTGATGACCGTCCGGGGAGCCGGCGGGCGGCTCGACGGGCCGGGATTTCCTCCCGGAGTCTCTCCACTAGAATCATTCGGCCGAGACGGCAGAGGAGCGACGGCCGCTGGAGAGCCGATTGGATGGGTCTCGCGTGACCAGCTGTCCAAATGATAACACCCCACAGCGAGTTATGGGACGCCCGGGTAATAGCGACTTGACCTTGGGCTGGCTAAACGCCAATGTCGTTTTATCTCGAAACGATTACATTTTGCTTGCAACTGTTGAAGGCAGCCACTCGTGAGACTCGTCGAAACGGACAGCCAGCTTTATCTAATGCGTTGTTTTGGACCCCGATTATTTCTGATGGACCACTACATGTTTCATATCCAGTGGGAAATTCGGGCCCGTATCCAAGATTAAGGGCATTAGGTGACGTTATAATTTCTATCGCGTGATTCGGACGAGTCTTGAGTTGAGGGTGGTAATTTCTATCGGAAGGATAATGGAGTAGTGAAACTTACCATGATCTTATTTCGTTAATAACAGTCCTAACCAGAACTAGGCCGAGTGTTTTAGTTTATCCCGCAGAACCGCTAACCCTGAGCAGCTATTACAGGAGGTGGGTGAGAGTTCACCCAAACCGGCAGGGCAGCTACTTCAGGAACCGGTGGAAGATCTGTGCCGCTTCTCACCTGCAGACAAACTCGGTCTCGCTGAGGCAGGCCTTCTGACAGTCCAGCCGGCTGGTCGCCGGGACTGACTTCTTCTCCACCCCGGCCAGGGTGAAGTTCTGCACGCGCTCGAAGGCCCACGCGCTGCTGCACTTGGGGGCGCCGGCGTAGCACATCTTCTGGACGTACATGGTGAAGACGGGGAACTGGGACACGGTGAGAGCCTCTGAAACACACAGACGGCAGACCGGTCAGTGGTGAGCTCAGCACGCGCATCAGACACAGCGTCTACATGTAGCTGGACACGACAGTGGTGACGAATCAGCGAGTGACATCATCCCCATCAAACGAGGAATGGCAACGTTGACATTAAACCTCACAAATCTATCAATGGCATGTGTGACCGAAGCATCCCAACTTCCGACTAAACCAGTTGGCTGCATTGACGGGCTGGTTAAGTAAATCTCCAGTGGCCGCACCAGAGGTCATTGACCGTGGCTTGAACATGGCGAACGTGGCATCGTTTACATATTTCCGCCATTGCTGCACTGTAAAACCAGTGATCGGATCATCTGACCGATCACCCCCGCTGACCGATACCCCGTGACCGATGACCACTGGGACCGTTCAGCGGGCTCGCTGGCCCCCGTCACCGCCTGTGTAACCCATCCATAATGCAGTGACTGACCGGGTGGGGCGACGCTACCCCATGGTGACTGCTGAACCAACAGCATCGGAGCTGCCCAGCGGGAGCAGCCGCATACATTAGCGTCTACAGTGAACGCATGAGTGTGAAGGCTGGAGCTTGGGATTTGGAGATATGGGGAAGGTATCTTTCTTATGCGCTCTTGTTGAGATAATGTGTGGCATTTTGTGAAGGAGGCTAAGGCTCACAACACAATTTTCTCGCAATTTTCATTTAGTGAATGAGGCGAGCGGGTGGGTGGGTGCCAGATAAAGAGGAGATAGAGAGAAAGAAGGAGAAAGCACATGCGTTCATAGCCAAAGCGAGTTGGTGGCATGCCATGACTGGATCCCATTGCGTATGTGTTTGTGTGTCTGTGTGTGTTTGCCGTGCCGAATGGGTTAGAGTGCACACACCCGCATGCCTCTGCTGGCGCGGAGCAGTGGCCTCTGCCGTTCGGGGCGGAACACTCCCACACTCTGTGTGTTGACACAATGGCCGCAGCTCAACACAATGTCTACTGTGTTTGTGGTCGCGGTCAGTGACCTCAGACGGCCGGCGCTCTGGGAAGGGGAGGGAGGGCTCATAAATACCCCCAGGCTGTGCGTTGGTTACGCTCTTTATGGGCATTTACCGTGATGATAGCGGGCGATGCCCATATTTTACCCATGGCGTGTGGTCGGGGCGGCTGGTGGGCTGAGGTACGGGAGAGGTCGGGGAGCGGGTCAGGTGACCTCATGAGATCCGGCCGAGACGGCGTGACGTCACGCTGCCTTCTGTACCTGACATTGGATGGCACCGGACAGACTTCTGCTCGCCCCGTGACCTATGCTAATGTATGCGATACAGATCCGAGTCAGGGCGCACTGTTCATGCATGTTTCAGATGAATATTGCATATGGTTCGACAGAACTGGCGCGTCTCAGCTTTCAGCTTCGAGTGAGTGTTGCAAGGCAGTAGGCTGCTATAGATGCGTTCAGATGCTGGCGCAAACATCTGTTTGCAATTTGCAGTCAATGCCTCTGCACGGTCACTGCCACGTCGTCACTTTCGCGTGAATGCAGAATCAGGTGTTGATGAGTTAAAAGTGATGACTTTTGCTTGCACTATCATGCCTGCATTAAGCTCCATTAAATGGCTCCGCCTCTATCTCATTCCCCGTATCTCTGCCGTTCCTCGTGCCGATTCCGTACCATCTGTTCCCGCTCGGTAATCACCGTTCTCTGTGTGTGAGTGCGGCTGGTCACCGGTTCTCCGGCGCGCCATGTGGTCTGAGCGCCGCCATCTGCCGGTCCCGACGGCCGGGTCAATGCCTGGTGACGCCGTCCACCGTCTACCGTCCGCTCTGCAACGACCCGGGGCCACCGGAGGCGCCGCCGCCGGCCGCGGCAGAGCGCTCGAGCGTGGCCCGCCACTCGTGGTCGTCCCAGATTGGACCACCTCTCGGCGGAGTCGCGGCTGGTTTGTGCCGATACAGAGAGCGGCGGCCGCAGAGCCTTGCAAGGTCTCGGCCGCCGCTGTCTGGCGGCGGGAGAGGCGGCATTTGGCTACCAGCGGCAGAAGCTCTAAAGAGGAGCCGCTCCAGGGTCTAATTACACCCGTCATGAAGGTCAAACGCTGCCCGCTGACAGGTGCCGACCGAAATTAAACGAGTAATGAGGAGCACTTTGGCAAGCGAAGCGTCAGCTTCCATTTGTTCGGCGTCTCTCCGTACGTGTAATTGCTGGACGTAATTTGTACCCTTTGTCCAGCATGCACGCACCACTTGGAGCCTCACGTGCCGCCAAGATCACCGTCATATTCAGAAACAGGATCGAGAACAGAGGGCAGTTGTTCTGTCTCACCACCCGCACACTTCCTTTATCGTCACTCCTCAGTCACGCCACGGAGAAAAATGTGCGGCCGCCGCTCGGAAATGGTTGTCGTTTGTCTGGTTCTTTACGCGCCGGGCGGGGAGCGGGTGGGAGGAGGGAGGCTGAACTGGGTCAGAGGCTGGCGGCGGGATCCGGCGCCGGCCGCTGACCCGTCCGACCGGTCCCGGGCAGTCCCGGGCAGTCCCGGTCGGTCGGTTTGACCGTCCGTCTCCCCCACTGACGGCCGTCGCCGGTGGTTGTCACGTGCGGACGATACTGAACAGCTGAAGGTCGCATGCGAGGCGAGCGCCGAGGAACAAAACGCGTGAGGAAGGCACGCAAACCGGTGATTAGCTGCGTGCCTCCTCGTGACAGGTCGATGCAACCAAAGAGAGCGAAGGTGTGTGCGTGCCTTTGAGCTAACACAGACTAGCTTGGACATATCTTCTCATGCGTTTTGCGCTGATTTGTGATTAAGGAGGTTGTTTAATGGCGTTTTTGCGATCGTATACCCCTTAGGTAAGTGGCCCACCGAGCTCCTCCAACGGCCGTCTGCGTTTGTTATCATTAGGCCCGGTAATAGTCGGGATGTGGTCAGGGGCGAACACCATCGTGGAAGATTTATCACACCAAGATGACACGCTGTTCGCCAAATGACGGACGAACCCCGCCGGGAAAGGACCTTATCTCACCTTGTAGGTGATCAAAGGAGCCGACAGTGCTCCATGGCTGCCCGTCGTGCCGACATGGACACAATAGGTCTCACGGCGAGATGAGAGTTTTGACACAAAGGTGGCGCCTATCGATCATCCACGCTGGAAGGACGATTAAGAAAATCCCATAGGATGAGCCTTAGCTGCCCCAAGCTTGCCCCTCCCCCAGGAATGATTACTAATTCAAGCCCACTTCTGAACTCTCATTTCAGCTAAAGTGAGATCGTATGTCGAGTCTCCTACCTCACATTCGATGAGATAAGACTTCACTCTCTGTGATGTAAGATCCTCTCACCCTCTCACCGTTTCCTCTTTCTCACCTGGTTCGTCCTCATTGGCGTCAGCGTTGGAGTCGATCAGCACACAGAGTCCGGTCTCGTAGTTAAACGCCTGGCAGCTGGCGTTCTGCCGACACATGTCGATACATTCTGCGAGCATCAGCGTGCCGGCCCGCGAGTCGAGCATGTCGGAGGGGGCGCTGTAGACGTAGCCGGTCACCAGCTCGAAGTTGGTGTCCTCGTCGGAGCAGGAGTCGGTCTGGGCGGCGGCCAGGGCGGCCCAGCTAACCAGAGCCAGCAGTATACAGGAGCGCATCGTCGGGCGCTGTGGGCAGAGACGGGGGGAGATGGTCAGAGAAGGGCAGACGGTAGACGGTGCACGTGACTAAGAGGTGGCAAAAGCGTCTGAAAAATGTTAAACCAGCAGTCTTTCAAATTCAAAACGTTTATTATCAAGTAACTACTGATTAATTTTATTGGGAAAAGCATACATCCAAATTAATTTGATTTCCACTTGAATTATAACTATCTGGCTCTTAAATCAATAGATCACTGTTGTCAGTTTTTTACGAGCTAGCTATTGGTGGGCTGAATAGCTTCCAACATCCAGCTTTTATGGCCGACTGGAACTAAAAGTTTCTGAACGGCTTTTAATCCGCTGTTCCTTTTGTTCTGTTACATCTCTCTCAGACGGAGCCTTTATTTGTCCTCAAAGCCTCGAGGCTGTTCAGGCGCTCCATGTCGTTGGACCAGCCAAGGTCGTCCATATGCCCCACACTAGCCCCGTGTCCTTCCCTTTCCTCCTTCCTTCTAGACCGACCCTCCCCCGCCGGATGCAAGCCATTACCGTCCGCCGTCTCAGCCGGCGCGGCTGTCCGATTAATTAGACAAATGGCCGCGACTTGGACACGCCACACCGCCCCCGCCACTGCTGTCCCCGTGGTGTTACCACGCACTGCCGCATCGCAGTCTCCAGTGCCCGCTCGGTTAGAGCCCTATATTGCATTGCAGTCTCCGCCGCCGCTCCGTCCCCGGCGGCCGCTGCTGGTGTTACTGCGCACTGCCTTATTGCAGTCTCCGCTGCCGGCCGGTTTGCGCCCTATGCGACACTGCAATCTCCATCGCGACAGTTTCCCGGCCGGTCGGTTACAGCCCTATTCACCATTGCAGTTCCCGGCGGCCGCTCGTGGTGTTACCGCGCACTGCCGCACTGCAGTATCTGCCGCTCGCGCTCGGCTGCCATGCAGGCCGGCGGAGCAGGGACCGGAGCAGGTCACTGTCGGTCATTGCCCGGCCGGCGGATCCCAGCGGCGCGCGCAATCCTTCACAATGTCGCGGTTCTGCACTGGTGAGCGCACGTTTTTCTGGTTGTGAAAACCGCACCGTGACAGCGTGCAACAATAAGATGTGCCGCTCGGCGTGTCGCCCATGGCTCGGTCGGTGCGGTGGGGACGCGGATGGTGGCGCGGCGTTTCGGCCGCAGCTGGCGCCGCTGATCTGCTCTCGTTAGTGGTGAAGCCGCGGTTTTAGCCAATTCACCACCCCGCCAATCTAACGCTGATTAAAACCGAATCCGGCGTCGTCGTCGGCCGGTGCCGGCGGCGGCGGCGGTCTGACTCTCCCACACGGGGTCAACGACCGCGCTGACCTTGACCGGCGGCGCGACAGATGCGGCGCTGGCGTCGCGGCGGAGACCGTTACGGCGCGGCGCGTGGTGCTGCCGACGGACAGCGTCGGCGAGCTGCCCGCTCAGGGAGGGCCCACGAGCGGCCGGCGCGGTCAGCTGGCGGGTCGGACCGACGGCTGCTGCGGCCCACGGGTCGTGAGGCGGGGGCAGAGGCACCAGGAAGCACCTCTCGGAGTCACGGCGACTTGGCACAGAAGCGGCAGCGGAGCAACAGAATACTAATGTGGCGATAACACGGACTGGTCGCCGCGCCAGCAAATCTCAACAGCGGCCCACGTCTGCCGGATTTTAGTTTCGCCCATGGTCCGTGACGGTTGTCGACAGTACTCCGTTATGGCTGAATGACTTTAAGTGACGCTCGCGGTTGGGGCATATATTTCCTTATATTTCCACAAATCTTTTATAATAAAGCCTTTATACCGATAAACGTTATACGCAATGCATGATAACAGTAAGGCGACTTTGAGCTGGTTAAAAAATAACTTCCTGGACAAACAGAAAGACTAAGTTCCTCTTAAGCCATGTGATCCGGTTCCCTGCTAACACTTCTCCTTCCAGTCGCTGCAGCTCCGCAAGTGCTGCAGAGAGGGATAATCCCCAGCTGTTGCCGTTTTTTCTCGCCCCACTCCGCTCAGTAGGTCAATCCTCCGGCTCGTGTCTGGGAATCTCCCTCCCCCGCCCGGAAGCGGAGCCGGTCGCTCCAGACGCTCACCACACACCCCATGCAGCGCTGGCCGGTCCGCCCCGCCGCTATATTTACGACATTCCGTGCTGGTCTCGGCGTGTGACCCATACTGAGACCGGCCGGGCGACCCGTAACGGTCGGAGGGCGCCGCCCGGGTCAGACAGGTCAGAGGCAGGGCCGTACTGACTGCAGGGCCGCCGGCGTCCAATGCCGGTCACCGTTACTGAGGGGGTGAGGGCAGTGAATCAGCTGTGGGTCAGACCAGTGACCTGCAGACAGAGAGGTGTCTGAGGTCGGGTACATCCCACCGGAGACTGCGGGGACCCGCCGGACGCCGGCAGACATACCGGCGGACGGAGCGCCGGGACTGAGGGAACGGCTGAGTCAGGGCGCTGACACGGATGTGACCCGATATATAGGGGGAAATACCGAATTGACGTGGAGACTAGTGATTGATCAACGGGACTGAGAGAAGACAGAAGGCCGGAGACTGAACGCCATGGAATTTCAACAGGCTACAAGGAACGCATAGACTACAGGCTTCTCTGAGATTATACCCGGTGGACGCTCAGCCTATCGGCCACATGCCTGATATTCGTGAGTGGGTATTCATATCTTTGCGGCATGCCAACACTGAATGTCTCAGATATTCTCCAGCTCGTGCCTTAGTCACGGCCAGCGGAACAGGTTGCTGCTGCGCTCCGGTCCGGTGAAGACAAACCACCGCGTCGACAGTCGGGTGGATCGGACATGACGCAAGACCGAGTGTGTGTGAATAGCCGGCGGTTACTGGCTGGAGCCGAGCGGAACCGAATCGGCCCGTGCCGGCCTCGGAAGGCATCTAACGGACACGTGGGAGCCGTGGGAGGCGGCCCGGGGGCAGGGTCGGCGCCGTCCCACTGGCAGTACCGCTCAGACGCCTGCGGCGGGTCCCAGAGCCGACACCGTGCCGCAATGTACCGCGGTCGGTGAGTGTGCCGCTACAAACATCCTGCTGGTCTGCAGGAGTGCATACCGCGACAGCCTCGCGCGCACAAATACTGCAAGTAAGCCTCATTTAGCCCTACTGCGCGCACTGGGGTGACACAGGGATTTTATCTGCACATTACCTGCATTATATGATGTGTTGCAGCGTGGTCTGTCAAGCGTAACGAAATTGACGGATTATCTTGAAGCGATGCGTCGGATCGTAATGTGTTTTGCCAGCACCTGACATAAACAGATCAGAGCGGCTCGGTTCCGCGGAGGCTCCACCCGTCTCTGGATGTCAGCCTGTGACGGTGTCTGTCCGCGCTGGCACCTCTGTCACGGAGATTCTCCTTCCGTGGCCGATGGAGCGCTCCGTACCGCTCTGCTGGCCCGAGCGACACACGAGGACGGCCTTTACCGGTGATCGGTAACGGAGAGGGACGGTCGATACCAGTGATCGGTAACGGAGAAGGACGGTCGATACCGGTGGTCGGTAACGGGCCGTCTCATTACAGTCAGGACCGTGGCCGGGGCGGGGTAATGATACCCTCCCACCCAGCCAGCCGTGAGTCTGACGGTGCCGGTCGGACGCCGATACACATACCATAGGATGTTTACCAGCCGGTAACAAACGGTTTCGACACAACACGTCACAACACAAAAACAAGTGATGCGTGTGTGTGGTTGCTACATTCTTATGAACTATTTAGCGTTATGCATATATGGATTCTCGTCCTTTGCTGGTTCTTACAGACGTCTTTGTAATGTGTTCGCCGGTTCCATCTTTCTTTGGCACCGGTAGCACTGCCCTCCAAGTCCAGCCACGGCAGCGGTCACCACACGCATCTCTCGGTCGCTCGCCGGCCTTCCTTCCCGTGCCGTTTCGTGTGTGACGGCGTGCGAACTCCGCCACGGAGACGGGCTATCGTTTTTCGGCCGTGTTCCGAGCCAGCGAGCCCGTCTCGCCCCAGTGAAGCCACCGTTCGTGCGCCGAGCCGGGCCGAGAGACGTGCCTGTCCCGGCACCGACCACGTGCGCTGGTGAACGGGAGCGCGGGTGGGCTGCTAAAACTGGAGCTGTTCCAAGTCTCGATATTTTACCATGCTGCTATTTGCAACAAGTTGCAGCACGCATACAATGCTATGCAAGATAATATTGACCACGTTCTTTGAAGTGGCATCATATTTCCAGAAATCTAACTGCCCGGGCGTGCAAAGTGACGTGCAATGCAGGAAATTCTCAGCAGCGCTAGCGGCCAGCCGATCACGCGAAGGACTCACTCCACCATCACAGCTGAAGCGCCGTTCGCGGCCCAAACACAAGTCTCGGTCTCCATCCAACCGTCTCTGTCTGCGCGTGAGTTCTCTGCCGCCAGCTGCGGCCGGTCCTCAGTCCGCCGAGCCGCGGCCATCTGTCCCTTATACCGCTGGTAGCGGGCCGATCGCCGTTATCTGCCGCAGGGGACAGTCGCCGGCCGCGTGCGGTCCCAATCAGCCGTGTCGCGTGGCCACGCGATGACAAAAGGGGTGATGGGGATCGTGACTTTGAAACCTTGGCATCACCAAAGCAAATACAATCAACACAAGATCACCAGAAGATTGTGATGCGCAAGTTGCGCCAGCATATCAGTGCTTTATGTCAATAAGCTCTTGTTCGTATAATCTATGGTCTGCGGCCCCTTGCCGTGGACCGTGGCCTCACATCTCTGGCCCGGGACCACGGCCGGTGGTCCGTGGTCTCACATCTCTGGCCCGGGACCACGGCTGGTGGTCCGTGGCCTCACATCTCTGGCTCGAGACCACGGCACGGTGGTTGGTGGGTCGGTGACCGTACCGCCACTGTTTGTCCGGGCGGCACGGCGGAGGGCGTGAACTTGACGCCCCGTCACCAGTAAATGTGATAAATCGACATCAGCCCGGCCGCAGCGGATGTTTTTCACACGCGCCTTAATCGCTCAAACCACTCCGTACCTATCGGAAAACAGGCGTGATGCCGTTCGATGGAGGCCGGCGACGGTCTACCGCCGTGAGTCGTGAGGTCCCCTCCACCTGTACTTTTTACGGTGACACAGTGACTGGGGAGGACCCTGACTCGGTGAATGACACTCCGTCCAGCCTGTTCTGGCCAGCAGAGGTCAGACCACTTGTGAGGGAGATGCGCCGACGCGTGTAATTTAAACCCCGACAGGTCAGGTCTCCGTGGGTCCGGAACTGCCCATCCCAGCGCTGACTAATCCGCCGACCGGCCTTGCGTAACGCGCCGAGAGGCGTCTCTTCACGCGCGGAAATGTAATTGGAATCGCCCACGAGGCTCTGCAAGAGCAGTGACTGGAACGGTTTTGTAGATGTTCGCGGAAATATGATGAGACGTTATCGGTATGTAGCATCGCCCTTCCAAGTCTGACGTTATTTTGCAACTTTGCAACAAATTGATACCTATTAAGCCTGCAAGCTCACTCACCTACAAGTGCCAGTACAACAATTAATTAACTCTCTCTATTGCCGATATCGTGATTAAGTGAAGAGCCTAAAGCACGATAGGTATGAACATAGTGAGATAGTGAGATCAATTGATTGTCAAAGACCCAGACCTTCTGGCAATAAATGACCCTTCAGCGCATTGTTTTCAGTAAACATCCGATGTGAGATGTCGATAAGATGCTCCCTAAACCTCTACCGTTGACCTGTGGCCACTGTCGCCGCCTGCATAGTTCACGGAACGGAACGAAAACATCCGGACCGGACCGGCATTGTTTCCGCCCCGCCCGGGAGCGACTGCCGGCTATCACCGCGACATCTCCGCGACAGGGAGCGACCGGTCACACTGCGGCACGAGGCCACGCATATTTAGAGACGGGTGACGTCGCCCGAACGATGATGACATTGATATGACGTCACATGTCGTCCGTCATATAGCCCACCTCACATCAGCCGCAGGCGGGTCGCCCCCTCCGTCACCTTGACTGCGCCCGTGTCAGTGACCTGGACCCCCCCCCCCCACACTCACACCCGTTCCGGAGCCGTCTGACGCCCTGCCGCACCTTCAGACCCAGCAGATCAAACCGAGAGAGTCGGCCCACGGGCACGATTATTCCAACTGAATACCTTCCGGTCATGACTGAAGGTCAAGCTCGCTAAATGAATTACTTTTTAGCCGATTGTTTTCGTCGGAATAAAACAAAGACAAGGCGTGTTTCGCCACCGTCCGTGTATGCGGGCGGAGAGCAGGTGCGGTCGGACGGAGAGGCACCACCATCGTGCAGCGGTGAGTCACTCGAGGACAGGTCGATGGAGGCTGAGGTCATTGGACCGAGCGACCGAGCATGGTGATGCAAGTCTCAACGGGCGGAGATGCTGACTTAGAAATTAAACGGTGCCGACAGAATCAGCTCCCCAGCATATTTGAAAATATACGAACAAAATTCACATGCATATTTTGATATATGATTTTCATCTATCCCAACCTTAACTGGTAACTATGTAGCTTGCAATAAGCTTTTAGATTTTCTTATTGCTGTTTTTCAATCGAATTGGAGTGAATGAGAATGCGTCGGTATGATGACTACTACGGGAGCCTTTTATCCACAAATTCGACCCATTTAACTCTTGCAATCCCCTTACTTATCCCTATATTTTATATTATTTAATAATTTATTGTAAATTACGATATAAAAAAACATCACGTACAAACTAAAATGAGCATAAAAAAGGAGGCATAAAGACGAAGAGCTTATAATTCATTTACTTTATTTACTTTTTGTCCTACGATAAGTATTATATGGCATTGGATTTCCTGATGGCTTTGGAACTTGGTAAACGGTTTATCTTTAACTCCACACTGGCGTCTCATTAAACGCACCCACGACCCAATGCCTTGGTAATGATGTTTTTCATCGATTCAATAAGCAAATCGTTTTAGAAACAAATCATTACACTGTTCAATATGATTTTTGGATATTATTTTTAACGCGTGTTATCAACATGAAAACTTTTAAGGAGTAAGAAATAAACGTTATAAGTAGAGACAAATATAAATACAAACGAAATTGGTCACCCGTTTCTGCTACACACGTGACTGACCTGAGTTATTTCTGGGCGTTCTCTCGTCCCTACGGGCAGTGCTGGTGGCAGTCTGGTTGGCTGCTGGTCCGCAGCCGTCAGCCGTCCGTCTGTGCCTCTCCGCTCGTCTCCGTCTCCGTCTCCGTCTGCCGATCCGCCCGGCACGGTCACTCAGCGGCCTGTGGTGGCTACCGACCGCAGCGCACCTGTTTTACTCGGCCGCCGCCGCCGGGCCGCCGCGCAACAAGGGCCCGCGCGCCGCGCCGGCCGCGCCGCCAGGTATGCGGGCGGTACCTCGGCCGGCCGCCGCTCCGGCAGGGCGGCCCAGCTGGTTTGGCAGCGGAGGTATGACCCGACCGGCCTGTATCAGGGAGAAATCGCCAGGAATGCGCCGCCACGCCGCCCTCTGGGTCACTGCCGCCGACCCCGCCACTCTGAGATCACCGCAGCGCCGTAAAAATGTCAGCCGATTCAAAGGTTTCACAGAGTTCAGGAAGTCATGATCGGGCGCTGACCGATTTTCTGCAGCGCCGAAAAATGCCGAAACCATCTCAGGTACTCGATGAGCGCATCGATCCACGCTGGCGTCTCATTAAACGCACCCAGGACCCATTGCCATGCCGATCGGTCTCGGTGACTCGGGGACCGCTGTGTCATGTGGGCCGTTGTTGCGCGCGGCCCCGGGTGTCGAGGAGGTCGGCTACCTCGTGCTAATGATGAGCACCGCTCGGTGGCACATAGCTGACAGTGGTTCGGCGGTGACGGTGGCGCGGGAAGCGGAAAGGGACGAGTGGCGACCTTCGAGCGGAACCGGGAGGAGGATATGGGTCAGAGCGGGACGGGAGGGGACGCTGAGGACCTGCCGACTGGAAGTGGGGTGGGACCGATGTAAACAAAGTGACGGAACTGTTACAATTACAAAACGAACAAAAATGGAGTGCCACTAAAAATGTGTTTAAAGCAAACGTCATGGTTCATTTCCGTGAGAGTCGATATTTTTAAACCCAGACGTTTTCTCAGCTGATAAGCAGTTATTTCAAATAGCTTGGATAGTCTAAAGGTGCCCGAGTTTTTATTACCAACCTGTTTTCATATGTAGGTACCTATGCCGCGGAGTGTTGACCCTACCTTTTTATCCGATGCAAGTTAGTTTTTGGGGTGTTGAATAATGATAAGGCTGACGTTCGATCGAGTTTGAAACGTGATTACTGATTTTTAAGCATGTCAGACACGTCCCTTTATTACGAGCTAAGTGGCAAAAGGTGTCCTTACTCCTTATAAACTTTCAACTACGTCATAACAATAGGATACAATTTTGTGAATTATTGCCTAGATACCTACAATAAGAAGTGGACACTGAATTAACGAACGACAATGTTATCACTGAGATCGTTTAACAATGAACTGCGTGGAGCAACGTCTTTGGTTCTTAATCTTTTTTTTTTTTGGTACCTACTTCCAGTTCGTTTTAAATAGCAGCATATCTGATGCACTCCATGTGCCGGTGCACTGCTGGAATGCGCCAGTTGTGGTCGGACGAATCTTTCACTCGGATGTCGTCGTCTGCGATGCACCCGTGCGTTACATCATTTGCCACGGCTTGGCTGCGCGGTCATAATCCCACCGCGCACAGCTGCCGGCGGCTCCCAGGCTGGAGTCGAGAGAGACGGGACTGATGGGACCGGACGAATGGGGTGGAACGGGACAGGTCGGGACGGACAGGATGGATGGAACGGGACAGGACGGGACAGGACGGGACGGACAGGACGGGACGGACAGGATGGGACGGACAGGACGGGACGGACAGGACGGGACGGACAGGACGGGACGGACAGGACGGGACGGACAGGACGGGACGGACAGGACGGGACGGACAGGACGGGACGGACGGGACGGGACGGGACGGGACGGGACGGGACGGGACGGGACGGGACGGGACGGGACGGGACGGGACGGGACGGGACGGGACGGATAGACAGGATGGGGCAGGACAGGAGAGACAGTAAGTGCGAGTTATATGTGATTATGAATTGATGGTTGAACCGGGGCTTCAGCACGCACGCTTAAAACGTGCCTAGAAGGAAACATGCAACGATTTCTGCAAATACGAGTACCTTTCTCATTATCTGATATTTCTAAGTTTATAAGCCGAAGAAGCTCCTAGTGTTGATCGAAGAAACCAGCGCCTAATAAGACGCACGCCATTTCTATTTGCATCATCATGCCGTTTCGGCCGACTTCCTTGCCCCTCCGTCCTTGGCTCCGTCCCAGCCGCCGTGGATAACGGTCTATAGTCTGCGCCATCCGAGAATGTCCTATGGGCCGCCGTTCGGCCTCTCCGCCGCCCAATGCCGTCCAGCGTGGACCCATGCCGTCTCAGTCCGTCCCGGTCCGGACCCGTGCGGACCCGGTCCGGTCCGAGAAGTCCCATTGTCGTTCCAGTGCGGAACGGAGGAGCGGCCGCCGTCGCCGCTGGACCGTGAAGAGAGCATCGAACTGGCGTCACGGGTGCGCCGGTGACGATCTCGAGACTGATCTACGACCGGGCACTGTGTTGGAGACGAGGGAATTGGCCCCGCGGAGTCACTCCGAGCAATTAGATTGGTGTTTCATGCAGGTAGTAGCACGAGACTTAGAGCATTATTGCTCACTTTAGGATTTATTTAGAGGTGTTAATCAGTTGCACTGTAGCAAACCAAACGCACCACGAACCGTGAAGCCTGGTAAAATAATTGCGAAAATGTAACTACCGTTGTAAAACGATTGGACACAAATGTTCTATTCAGCCGTGAAGCGCAGTCTGAAGTTACGGTTGTTGGTCCGGCTGGGTTCAGTCTCCCACCGCCCAACATCACCCCTCTCCGATACCGTTTAACAGGTCTCCAATCGGAGCATTGTCTCAGCCACCCATTGATCAGACCGCTACATCTCAACGAGGCAGCAATGACCGGCGGATTGGCGCGGTCAGTGGACGGACGGAGCTGCTCGGGAGCGGCGGCCAGCTCCCTGCAGCCGGCGCGGTGGCCGGCGGAGGCGCACGTGCTGACGGACGGGAGGAGGGACCTCCGGCGCGCCGGACGGTGTACCCGCGAGTGTAACGGGCCGCCGCAGTGCCTCCACCTCCCCGGCCGGTCGGTGGTCCACCCCAAACACCAAAACAGGCTTAGTTCACATCCGCCGAGACCGGTATGCTAATGTAGCGGCCGTAAGAATACGCGTGTATGTCTGCAAAAAGAATGTTGAACTTGCAACGCACGACGAGTGGCGTCATCACATCGCGGAGACTGCAGTGAGTCGGATTCCGGTAACACCGGACAATTGGCTAGGGGAATACGGATATAACTATCGGAAGCACGCGGACAATTCCAAGTTAATGTATTCAAGAATATGCGTAATGACGTGTTAGACATGGTTCAGATGGCAATGACCTTACAGATTCTTATCTTTGAAGTGGAAAATTGTTCTGTCATCACAAGCTTACAGAGCATGTGAGCATAACAGAAGCTAAGACAAAAATGTGACGAATCCATGGGGGCAGGTCCGGTCAGTTCCCTTTTTCCTCTCGCTTTCCTCTGAAAAGTCGCTCCCAATTCTCCTTCGTTCCTTCTCTGGTCGTTCCTTCCTCATCTCCTCAGTTTATTTTGATCCGACTGTTGGTATAACTGTGGATCTCCGAGAGGTGTGCCGGGATGGACGCCCGTGTTTGAGTCCAGCCAACAGCTGCCTGTGCTTTGGTGGCAGGCGCAGGCCAGCACCGCCCCTCCCCCCCCCCCCCCGGCGCCGAACGTCGTGGCAACTGTTGGCTCCACAAGCTTTTAGCACCATACTGCGACTCGAGTGTCGAACCCGCCAATGAGTCAGGCGGTATTTACTACACAACCGTCGAGGCTGGTTCACAGCTCTGCTGGGAGAAAAACGGACATTTTTCGCTGCTCTGTGACACTGCATCCTGGAACATCAGGTTTCGCGTCTGAAATAATACTGCATTACTGCATGACCCATTGCGTAACTGTCGAAACTGGATCACAGCGCTTCTTTATCTGAACCTTTTTTCAGGTGCAGTCCACTGTTGACTGTGGGCACCGTATCGGTCACACACGGTTGGCTCTGCCCACCATCTGTATCTGTGACCAGCCCCGGGCAGCTCCGGAGGCTGCCCGGCTCCCCCGCTGTGACCGGAGTCCGACACCGTCACCGAGCGGCCGCTCCGTCCGGCGCCTACTGTCCGTCCCGGCGGGGCACAGTGATGCAAATGGGGTTCACGAGTGGCCATAAATACGAAAAAGGCCCAAAATTCAAGTTCACTTAATCGAATAAATCGTAATATGGTCAGTCAGGCAAATGTTTGGGGTGTCTGAAAAAGTATGATTTTAATGTTTTTGTCAAAACCGGCCTCGTGTATGATTGTCAGAAGTTGAGACATTTTCGATGTCGTAAAATGACTGTCAGGTACTTGAAATTCAAGTGCCGCTAGCGTGCGTTCATGTCATACAAACTGCAAAAATTATACATGAAAATGATCCCCGAAACCAGCTGCTTCTAATGCCACGTCATAAAAAGCCGTATCTATTTTGGTTTGGCGGTGAGCTAACTATTTGTGATCATGTTGCAACCGCAGTTTTTTACCAAAAATATTTGCTTTCAATTCACCTACAGCACTTCACACAGTGTGTGCCCGTTAGTGCACCATATCATAACATTCCCTAATCATTTTTGAGTCGCATAGTGAAAGAATTAAGGCGCTAGCACAGGGCTGACCGGCGCTACAGAAGCTTTCGTCCGGCACGGTCGGGTGCCGCGGCGCAGCGGGCGGCCCGGGCGGCCGCGCCGCCGCGCCGCCCTGACGCCGCGCGGCGGCACCCACCCGCCCACTGCGCGCCCACTGCGGCACCCGACCGCCCGGACAAAAACCTCTGTAGCGCCGGTCAGCCCTGTGCTAGCGCCTTAATTTTTTCACGATGCGACTCAGAAATGATTAGGGAAGGCTATGGTATGGTGGACTAACGGGCACACACTGTGTTAAGTGCTGTAGGTGAAACGAAAGCATTTTTTTCTTAGTAAAAAACTGCGATTGCAACATGATGATAAATAGTCAGATTACCGCCAAAGTGAATGAGATACGGCTTTTTGTGACCCGGCATTAGAAGCAGAAGGCTTTGGGGATCATTCCCATGCATAATTTTTTCAATTTGTACGAAATGAACGCAAACCAGCGGCGTTTGAACTTGCGAGTGTCTGACCGTCATTTTACGACCTAGAAAATGTCACGACTTCTGACGATTATACACGAGGCCGGTTTTGACAAAAACATGAAAACCATGTGATTTCAGATGCCCTAAACATTTGTCTACTCGGCCATATCGCAATTAACTCGGTTTGGTGAACTTGACTTTTGGGTATTTATGGCCACTCGTGAACCCCATTTGCATCACTG